GTACCAGGCTTTTGATAGGTGTTGATCCCCCTTACGGCACAAGCTTCTTTAAGTTTGGGATCTAAGGCTTTTTTGAATGTGTAGACCAAGAATCTTTCTGGCCAGTAGCATAGTCTCCCAGCTATTCTCCGGAACTCCCAAACTAATTCCTTCACGGGACGACCAGCCTATCGCAATTCGTGGATTTGGTCTTCAGCATCCACATTTTGGGCCACATCGCTAAACCTGGCATGCATCAGTTGGATGAACCCATTTATATCATCTAGCTCAGGAGCCGCTTCCTCATGGAGCTCTGCTATCCACTGCACAGCCTCCTTTTCATTCGTCCCCTCTGCTATTTCCTGGATCAACTCTCGATCAGATGGGTATTGTGGCCCCACTTGATCAATGTACGCCCATACTCGATTCAGGAAATAAGCCAGCTTATCTGGGGTCCCATTGAATGTTGCACGAAACCGTGGGGGTGTGGGAGGAGGGGGAGCTGGTGGTTGAACAGGGGCATCTTGTTGGTCTGCTGCTGGGGGTGGTAAGCCCCTCTGCTGACCCACACCCATCGGTTGGGCAAAAGCCTGTGGAGGCATTGCTGGGGAGGCTGGACCCGGTGGCGGTCCCATTCCCTGGGTTTGGCCAGGAGCAGTTATCTGGGAAGGAGCCATCTTCTGGAAGAGGGCAGGCGTCCATTGACATTGAGCCCATCCATGACCCGGGATGAACGCCCACCCTTGGTTTGCTTGATTCATGGGCTCAGAGTCACCCCTTTGTAGCTGTGGGGAGGTGAATGTGTTCCAGGCCCGTTTCTGCTGGCTGGATTGACCTCCCCAATTTGGAGGGGGGGTCTGGTTGCCCTCACGAAGGAGGGAGGGGTGCTGATGTGACTGCTTTTGGCATTACCCCAGCAGCAAGGGTGTGGGTTGATTCATTAGTTACTGTATGGAAGGAGCCAAGATCTCCACTCCACTGTGTAGCAAATTCTCTGCTAGGAAAGGAGAATGTGGGCGGTACCAGGTTCCACTGAGGGGTCCCTGAAGAGGGGAGGGTTTTTATTTCACTCAAGTTTAGCCGTAGGAAATGGTCTGGAAGGCCCATTAGACTGCATGAGGGTGGCTGAGATCTCCATTCAATTCAATTCAATTTATTAAGTTTGTATGCCGCCCTATTCCCGAGGGACTCAGGGTGGCTAACAATAAAAAGGGAGGGGATACAAAAAGAAAATAAAAAACAACAGTTTAAAATACTACAACAGCCATAACCTCGAGTGGGGCTGGATAGTTCAACAGCCCCAGGCCTGCCGGAACAGCCAGGTNATAACAGAAAGGGGCTTTTCGAAATGCCGGTCAAAGAAAGGGAAGCAGAGTATCGGCCGCTTCACAAAGGTGGCAACGTGCTAACAGGTAACAAAGGAATCGCTGACCTGCTCAGCTTCCCTTCCGCCTCCATCGCCTGACAGGAGGCTGAGCTTTTCAGGGAGAAATTGCGAAGAGGAGGAAAGTGGGGAGAGGGGAGACGGACAGAGACGGTCTGGGAAATCACCATTGACTGGGAATCCGTCCAAATCGCCCGGACCAGGTAAGCCGCCTCCAATGAGACTGAAGGATGCAGCTGAAGGTTTTGCTTTGGGGGGGGGGGGAATGAGGGGGCGGAGGAACAAAGTGGAGGAGAGCTTTGCAAGGAGACAAAGGAGCTTCAGGCCGCCACACTCATAAGACAATGAAAGACCCACAATCAACGTCACGTACCCCGAGGACAACCTGAGCATCAGCAAAGGCCGGGGAGCTTTGGGCCACAAGGGACCCTTCCCTGATTTCCTGAGTGGGTAACGGCCTGCATCAGAGTGCTGGGATGCCAGGGGCATTTTTGGTTGTTTGGTGGCTAAGCTGTGCCCGACTCTTTGCGATGCCACGGACCCCAACACACCAGGCCGGGCGCCCCCTCCGTCCTCCCGTGTGCCCCTGAGCCTGCCCAGAGTCCGGCCCTCTGGGTGGAGGTGGCACCGGGCTCCTTGATTTCAAGAGTGAGCATCCGAGGGAGCCTCCCGCGAGACTACAGACTGATTGCGCTAACCCTGGCTAAGTGAAGGCTGGGCGGCCTGGGGGCTGAGTGGATGCACAGCCTGAACAGTCCTGGGCAAGCAGCCCCATCAACGCTTCCACCAAGGCTTCCGTGAACGCAGGAGAAAAAGCTCTTGAGTGACAGCTGTCCGTTCCAGCACGTCAAGCACCGCAAGGATGGTTCAACTGGGGGGGGGGGCTCCACGCAAAGACTGGCTGGAGTGATGAGGGGGCCTCAAGGTCCGAGTTTAGCTGCGGGGATCCACAGGACCACAACAACCGCATTCACACAACAGGCTCTCTTAACACACTGAACTGCCAGGGCCTTGCACCACAGGCTTTCCTAACGACCCAGGCACCCACCCTTCCCTCACCAGCTGGTTAAAGCTGCCGTGTGAACAGAGACCTTCCTAGAAGCCCCTGGAATGGGCGACCAGGAGAACCGCCTGGCATCACGCATGCAGCCTTCAAACACACACACACACCCGAGTCCCTCCGTGCAGTCCCTGGGCCTCCGCAAGGCAATCTGCACCCACCCTGCAGACAGGATGCATGGCAGGGCCCATGGCTCAGCCCCTTCCTCCAGCCCTTTCTCTGCTCCCCACCCCCCGGCAATCCCCTTCTGCCACTCCTTCCCCCCCCACAGCATTTAGGGGCCCCTGTCAAGAAAGCAGAAGGGAAACAAAGCAGAAATGGGGGGGGGCATCAGGGAGGGAGGGGCAAAGCAGACACTTCCACATAGAGCTGTGAGGAGGGGGGGGTCTAATTGGGCAAGCGAGGCCGGCTGACACCCTCAGAACCAGCCCTTCCAAAGAGGGGCCTTCCTTGCCCCTCCCCAAATTAACAGGGTGCTGCTCGTCCTGAGAATTGTCTGACCCCTTTTTCTTCCTGCATCCATAAAAACACTCGGGAGGGGTGGGTGGGGGGCTTCTGCCAGGCCAGCTCAGTCCAGCCTCCCCCCTGGGGGTGGGGGGCAATGCTGGGTCATCAGGCACCAGGTGAGGCTCCAGCAGACCCCCCCCCCGTCACAAAGGCCTTCCGTGCAACCGCCCCCCCCCAGCCCCCCCAGCCAGCTCACCAGCCTCCATGGCCAGGATGGTGATGTTGTGCCAGCCGGCCGTCTCTCGATCCAAGGCCTGCCTGGTCAGGATGGCTCCAGTCTGGGCATCGATATCAAAAATCTGCCCCGTGTCCTCGGGGGGCTCGAGGGCATACCTGGGGGCCCAGAAGACACAGCAGTCAAAAGCTGCAGCTGGCCAGGCTGGGCAGAACTGGGCAGGCGGGCAAGGAGGTCGGGCAGCACAAGGCTGGACAGAGACCTGCACTGCCCTCGAGTGGCTTGGCACTGGCAGACACCCAGCAGCAGCCTGGCACAGGGTGTGCCCGGGTCCTTCCACGAGCCCCGCCCATCAGCCCACCTCCTGCTGTGCCATGCCCTTCCTCCCCTCGGGAAGGCACACGTGGGGCTGCCAGGGCCATGCCCAGCAAGCTCCCCCTTCCAGGAGTGCCCTCCTGCGGCCCCATCTTTTTCCCCCTCCCCACAGCCACAGGTCCCCCTCCTCACACACCCACCTCGACCCACATCCCCAGAAAAAACCCAACACAAGAGCAGCAGCTGCTGCCACCATCCCAGAGACGGGGGGGGGGTGGGGGTGTCAGCCCAGGCAGCTGCAGGGGAGTCTGCAAATTGGGGCTGGGGTCTCTTCTTGGCTTCATTGCTTCTGCTGACCAAGAGCCAACAGCTGGGCTGCCAAACTTCATCAGGAGAAGGTCAGCATGGAGGGAAGAGCTGTGCCTTCCCCCCCCCTCCGGAGCTCCAGCTGGTACTGCCGGCTCTTTGCATGCCCGGCCCAGCCTGGTGGCACCCGGCGGGCAGGGAGGCTGCGTCTGTGAGGCTCTTTGCCAAAGTGCCAGTGCCATAAAGTTAATGGCTCGGAGGAAGGAGTGGCAGGGCACTCGTCAAATCTGCAGACATGGCAAAGCGAAGAGGGAGGAGGATCATTCAGGAGACCTTGAGGGGGGGGGAGGCCCGAGGGAAGGAGGCAGCAGGGATTGGGGGGGGGCAACCGGCTGGAGGGCCAGAGTCAGAGGCTCACTTGCCCACAGCCCCAGGCCCTGGAGAGGGGGCACCACACCAGCTCAGGCAGAGAGCAGCAACCACGGACCAGCTGGGAGCCTCTCCGTGTCCGGAGCACGAGGACTCCTGCGACCGACCGAAGTCATGAATCCCTGAGGCAGAATTCCCCCCCCCCCATCACCCAGAGGAGCCCAAGTCCCAGCCTCCTTGGGCCACGAATGGAGAGGTGCAGGGCAGGTGGCTGGGCGGAGGGTGGGCGGGTGAGGGGGCTGCTGGGGAGGGCAGAGGCCGAGGGGTCCTGCAGAACTCCTGACACCCAATCTGGCCAAAGGGCCGCCGTATCACACAGGCCGGCTGCCTGTTGTCGTATTTAGAGAAGGCAAGAGAGCCCACTCTCTCCAGAAGCCCCCCCCCAATTCATCCAGTTTCCACCCTCCGCCCCCCATCAATCCATGCCATCAGGTCCGGCAGAAGAGGCGGGTGACTCTTATGGAGCTTCCTCTGTCAGCCTGGGGAGGGAGGGGGCCTTTCCTGCCCCCCCTTGTGAGCATTGTGGGCCGGGAGGTCCGGTTGGCCTGGCCTGGCTCCCCTCCGAAAGGCTCCAGGGTGCTGGGCTGATGGATGCAAGGCTTGTGCTTTTAATCTGGTTTCCATTTGGCTTGAAAGGGGCCTTTTACTTCTGCAGGCTTATTGGTCTTGATGCTTGCTTGACTACCTGACCTGCCCAGAGCCACACCTGGGGGGCGGGGGGGGGCGGGGGGGGCTGATCAATGGGTTTATAAATACAGGATGCATTTCCAGAAGCAAATCAATGCTGAGCTCGTTCCAGCTCTTCCCCCCTTGGCTGGTGCCCTCCTGTGTCCCACCCCAACTCTCCCTTCCCTGGACTGTTTTGTTCTCACAAGGGGAGGGGGAGGGGGAGGGAGAGGGGGAGGGGGAGCCCCTTCCTCACCGCTTCCTGAAAGGGCTTTTCAACCAACCTGCTGACTTCCCACTCTGCCAGGCCCTCCCTGACCTGCCGTAAATATTTCAGCCGCCCTTTTGTCATTGGGAGCCTGAATAAGCGCCAAGAGCCCCCCCCCTTTGAGAGCCCCCCCCATCCTTACTGAGTTCAGAACAGCCGCTTTTTGTGGCTGTCAGTGGGGCTGACTGTGGGAGGCGGAGGGAGGAGGGGGCAGAAGGGCCCCTCCTCCCAAATCAGGCTAGGAAGAGATTTTCCGAGGGGCAAATGACAGACAGAAGCCAAAGACCCCCACCCACCCGCGAGGGAACCTTCTCTGCAGTGGGTGAGTTCCGGCCGTTTCGCCAGCCTTGCTCCAGCTGTCCGAGCCCAGCTGCCCACGGTCCCTTCCCCAGACCTGCGTCCGGCTGGCCCTCCTGCTCCTCCAGCCCTCCTCCCGGGGGGGGGGGGAACGGCCTGACTTACCGAACGGGTCTGCTGGCCGCATCGGGGTCCACCGCGGTGACCACCCCCACCAGGGAGCCCACCAGGGCGTCTTCCTGCACCTCCAGGGGGCCGCTGGGAGGCCGGAACTCGGGGGGCTCGTCTGCGTCCAGCACAGAGACCAGCACGATGGTCTGGTCCCGGAAGGTGTCCAGGCCCATAAAACGGGGCTCCGCGAACTTATTCAGCGCCTCCAAGACCACCGTGTGCACCGCCTGGGCCTCGAAGTTCAGAGGCTGAAAAGGAGGAGGAGGAGGAGGGGGTCTCTCTGCCCTCTTATTCCCCCCTCCCCCCCCAGTGACCGACCCCTTGCATTCGGAAGGGGGCCCAGGGGGAGGGTTCACCCACCACGGCCGTGGGGGAGGGGAGGCTCCCAGTTCCGAGTTCGGGACTCACCTGCTGCAAGGAGATGAGGGCTTCCTGCGTGTTGCTGTCGGTGGCCACGCGGAAGGGCCCCCGGGCCCCCTCCTCCTTGATCTGGTAGGCCATGTCTGTGTTCTCCCCAACATCGGCGTCCTCCGCCCGCACTCGCCCGACCAGCATGCCCACCGGGGCTGTTTCCACCATGCTGAACTGGTACATCTCTGGGGAGGGGAGGGGGAGGAAAGAAGAGCTGAATTCTGGTGGAGGAAGGGGGGAGGGGCTCGGGGTCCACAGAGACAGCCCCCTCCCACCATTCTCCAGGACCCCCCTCGAGCTGCGCGTGGGTGAGGGCAGCTGGGTGCTGTGGCCCTGGGGGTCCTGGGCAGCCCCCTCGCCCTCAGCCAGAGCCCAGCTCTGCTGGGGTCCTCCTCCCTGCCTCTCCCCCAGGCCAGGGCCTTACTCTGGGGGAAGCGAGGGGGGTTGTCATTGACGTCAGTGATGACGATGGTGACGGTGGTGGAGCCCGAGAGGCCCCCCAGCTGCCCTGCCATATCCGTGGCCCTCACCACCACCTCATAGCGGTCCTGGGTCTCCCGGTCCAGGTTTGCCACGGCCGTCCGGATCACACCTGTAAGAGGCCAAGGGGTCCGTGAGGAGAGGCCGCCCCCTCCTTTCCAAGCAACCCCCGACCCACCCCCAGAGCTCCATAACAGCCATGGGGGGGGGGGGCAGCTCCCTCAGAAGACTGAAGGCCCGCCGGTGGGGGTGGGGGCCCGGAGCAAGGGAGGAGGCTGAAGGGGTGGGGCTTGCTGGAGACCCCTTTCCTGGGCATCTTCCCCTTGGGCTCCCTGCAGGGGCCCCTCAGCTGCCCAGAGCTCTGCCAGTGGGGGGCGCCCAGCCCGGAAGCCGCAAACAGTCTTCCTGGCTCTGCTGAAGGGAGGCGAGGGGAGCCTCCCACTCCGCACTCCTCTCTTCTGAAGGGCCGGGATTAGTGAGGAGAAGAGGAGGAGGAGGAGGAAAAGCAGGGGAAAGGGGTGGGGGAGGGCTGTCTGGGAGCTCAGCTGGGGGTCCCTGGCCCTTCCTGGGGTGCTTTGTGGGCTGGTGCCCTGCACAAACAGGGAGAGGGTGTGGGGAGGGGCTGCTGAGGGTGGGGTCTTGAGGAGGCAAGGCTGTGCCCTTGTAGCCCACCCACCGGAGGGAACCCTTTAAGGGAGCCCAGAGGGGGGCATTGCCACCAGGAGGGAGGCTCTCACCGGCTGCAGCCAAACAATGGCAACCGAGTGAAGGTGTGAAGCTGCTCTCCTCAGGCAACCCCCACAGGGACCAGAGAGACGGGGGTTCCGGTCACCGCAAACAGGGAACCCCCTCCAGGTCCTCCCAGGGGCTGCGCCTAAGAACAGCGGGCCAGGCGCTGGCAAAAGGCAGCGGGCAGAAAGCCCTTTCTGAGGAAGCTGCTGCCAACGGAGGCCGTTCCGGAGAAGGGCAGCCAGGGAGAACCGGGGGCTACTCTGACCGCCCTCCTCCCTCTTTGGGTCCCGGCCAGCTGTAACCGCCTCACCCTCTCCGCGGGCAAAGCACTCTGCCAGCCCTTCGGCCCTCAGGCCCAGCAGGGCAGCCACCGGGAGCCTTGAAGAAGAGGTTCGCGACACACTGTCCTGGTCCCCAGGAGTCCAGAATGACCTGAAGGCCCCTCATCCCCCCCCCCCATCCAGGCAATCCATCCCTCCTCCTCCTCCGTGCAAAGGAATCCTTTATTGGCCAAGTGTGATTGGACACACAAGGGATTTGTCTTTGGTGGAGATGCTCTCAGTGGACATTAAAGAGACAATTCCTCAAGAAGGTGCGAAACTTAATGATAGTCAAAGGGTACAAATAAGCCATCGGGGAACCATATCAACACCCATCGTAAGGACGCAGGCGAGAGAGTCACAGTCCCTCCGTCTTAGGTGGGAGCAGATGGGGGATAGGAACGATGGGAAGAGTGATAGCAAAGGAGCCTTGGGGAATGGTTGGGCAGTGGGGAGGGAATTCTTTGTTTAGCAGAGAGATGGCGTTTGGGGGAAACTGTCCTTCTGTCTAGTTGTTCTGGTGTGCAGTGTTCCATCTAGAGCGTCGTTTTGAGGGTAGGAGATGAAACAATTTATGTCTGGGAGGGGTCTGTAACAGGGATGAGTTGCTAAAGGCATTACTGACGGTTTGGTGTGCAATTTCTTTTGGGTGTCTGAAACCCTGGTACTGAACGTGCCTGCTGTTGTTATCAATCTCTTCATTTAGCCAGGATTCAATAAAGCCCAGGGCAGATGCAAAAATCAGAACTGCATCCGTTTAAAAGGAGCATTTCATCCATCTTATTAGCACGAGAACGTAAATTAGTCAGATTGAAGGGAGCGGAGTTTTTTTTTAATTTCCCCCCTTCCTTCGTCTCTTTAAAAGTCCCACCCGTTCACCTCTCCCTCTGCCTTTGCCTTTGGAGACCCATAGCTCCCATTTGTTTCCTCCCGCGCCAGGATCTCCTCCGCGTTTCTACCACGGAGAGCTGCTCCTCAAAGCAACCTCCCTTAATTCTCACCAGATGGTCTCCTGACGTCCCCCGTAGAGAATTGCAGAGAACAATAAAAAAACGAAGAAGCCGTTGGAGTTTCCATTAGAGGAACCTTTGTACGGTCACAACCACCAGGCAGGGTAGGTGGATCCCTAGGCAGACGGAGGAGGTGAGCCCCAGACGGGCCACCCGCGGAGGAAGACTTGGGAAGGGACAGGCAAAATAGGGCAGAAGGCCGCCGGCTAAAGGAGAGGAGGCTTTGGGCAGAGCCAGTTTGGCTGGAATTGGGGGAGGGGGCTGTTGGAGGTCACGGGCCTGGAGGTTCCCAAGGTCTTCTCCACAGAATCGGGTCCCCGAAGCTCAGAGATCCCAGCGAAGGACACGGACTTAAAGAAAAGGAATCAATAAAGCGATTTTGAGAAGTATCTGACCGATACATGGAAACTGGAACTCAGCTAACCCTGGGTCAGAAAGGGTTGAAGATGTGCGAAGGGAGCAAGCCGACGGATGGCGGGAGATGTGCCAAAACTCCTTTTCCCCAGGAAAGGAGACTGACAGATGAGCCAGAGGGCTGAGGGCCCTCAGCACGGACGCCACGGCCAGAGAGGCCCAGCGGGGCTTCCACGCTCTGCCCAAGAGGGCCAAAGGGCACCCTGCCCACCTCTGTCTGAGCCTGGCCAGGGGACCCAGGAGAGGCAAAGTGGGTGGGGTGGTCCCCAGGGCACAGGGAGCCCCCCCCAGGCGGACCCCAGCAGGCCCTGCGGCTGCCCCCCACTCCCACCTGGCCTTTCCTCCTATCCCGGCCACGGGGCACCGTCGGACGGGCCGTTCTGCACCCAGGGCTGCCTTCCTTCCATCGGTTCCCCCCTTTATGAAACGTATTTCCCCACCACTGCAATGCAAGGATGCTCCCGGAGCCCCAGGTAGAGCACAGAGGGGCTAAAACATCCGTCACAGGAATAAAACAACTCTAGATACAATAAAAAGTAAAAGCATAAAGCACAAATGAAATGCCCAGAGGTAGAGACGGCCCCCTTGGACCCCCCCCCCCCGGGGTCTTCTGCAGCTGCCACCAAGCCGGACGGCCCTGGCTGCTCCCTCAAAAGGAGAAGGGAGGCCTGGAGGCGGAGGGAGGGGGGGACGCTGGCCTGCTCGCCTCCCCAGCAGCCACAGCGGAGAGGAATCTCAGCCGCCTCCAAGCCCCCTGCTTCTGGGTGGGCGGTGGGCGGCGGGAGAGTTTAAATTAAGCGAGATGTGGAGGAGGAGGAGGAGGAGGAGGAGGAGAGCAGCCTCTGCTACAACTGGTGATCCTGGGAGTCTTGCAAGAGGAAGGGAGGGAGGGAGGGAGGGAGGGAGGGAGAGAGGGATGCCTGAAGCAGAGACCATTAGCGCTGCCCAGCTTTCGTGTCGCTGGGCTGAGGAAGGCCCAGGAGCAGCCGCGGGGCCTCCTCCACCTGCAGCCGAGAGCCTTGCCCCGGGCTGTCTGAGCCAGGAGCCCAGCGGGTGAAGGCAGCTACGTGACCCAGACGGAGACTGCTGGAGATGAGCAGCCGGCGTCTCCTCTCCTCTCTCCCCCCTGGAGACCCCCAGCAGAAGCCGCCTGTTCCGTGGGTCTTCCGGGGCCAGACAGGGGTGGGGCCACCCCCTCCCCTCTTTGCATCTGGGCTGGCCTGGGACTTCAGCCAAAGCGGGCACTAGAGAATGGCCTCCAACGTAGGAATTGGGAACTTGCAAGGGGGGTGGCGTGGGGGGTTGGAGCCTGTCTAGAGGTGGCCTCCTCCCCCCTCCCTTTCAAGACAACAGGAGCCACGAGTGGCCCCCACTGCTTGCGTGGTTCCTTCCGGGGGCCCTTCAGAAAGGCTCTGGGGCAATTGGCTGTGGTCACCTGGCACAACCACTTCACCCTGGTGCCCCTGCCGCAGCTGACCCACGGCGGGTGTTCATGGGCCTCCCCCACCGGGTCTCCTCCCCCACCCTGGTAGGTGTGGCCCTCCCCCCCCTTCAGAGAGGCCCACCTGCTGGGCCTGGCCAGGAGCCCTGGCCAAGAAAGGCAGCCGAGGGGAGGGAGGTGGAAGAAGAGACGGTGTGGCCTGCAGCTGGAGTGTGGGAGGGTCAGGGGGCTCCAAAAGGCCCCCCCCTGAATTCTGGAGTGGTGAAGGCGCCAGGGGCCCCCCGGACTTTCAGACTAGCAAGACTGATGTCAGATGAGGGGATTCTGCCTTATTTCACGTGAACAGAATCTTGCCAATTCAAAAGTATGGTCATCCTCCCATCTCCTTTACAGCCCAAGAAACTAGGGAGGGTCCCTCCCACCTGGGCCTGTGGCCCCGCCCACGGTGCGCCTCTTCTCCTCCAGCCCCCTTCCCCAGGCCTTTCCCGCCGGCCCTGGCAGGAAGCCCTCTGGACGCGGGGCAGGGGAGGGGGGAGGGGCACTGTTCAGATTGCTCCTCCCAAGTGGGCACCCCGCCTCCTGCCCTTGCGCGAGGGCGTTGCTGCCCCTCTGCCGGCCATGGGCCCCCCGTGCGGCCGAGGTCCTCCTGGGGCCCCCTGGATGTGCAGGAGGAGAGGAACCAGGTCAAAGTCAAAAGGGAAACGCAAACAGCCCTCATTACCATATATTACAAAAAACGAATGTGCCGGATTTTATGGCTCCTCTTACAGCATTAATGATCACGATGGCTGCGCGAGTTAAGCTGCCGATCCGGGCAATTAAACTGTGAGCTCCAGGCCCAGGAAGGCTCTGCCCGGTGCATGGCGGGAGAAGCCTTCAGCACTGGAACCGGGGGGGGGGGCTGCCCAGGCCGCTGGGGGGAGGG